TATCAAAGCTGGAATGGAGTGGGTGTTAGGATCTAGGCCACTCTTCTGTCTTAGTAAGAGATCACTATCACTGAGGTAAATAATATAGATGCCAGGCCCAACACTACAACATCTTGACCCACCCGCCGTTGACCTGAAAGCTTTCCATTACAGTGTGCTGTGACTTTTCCGCTAGACCACCACTTCCCTGGTGGCATAAACCTGGGTCATTTGGAGGCTTGCTGAAGCTGTCTGTGCTGGGATCTCTTCCCTCCTCCTTTGCTCTCAACAGTTGGCCCTAAATGCCCCTGGGAAAGCTCCGCAAAGATGAACTAAAAGAGAAAATCTCTCATCTGTAGACTGGGTACAGTTTCTAAGATGACAAGCCCAGGTTCTTTCTTGTTTATGTCCTTTCTTCCCAGGACATCACTGGCCCAAGACCAAGGCTGCCCAACCACTGCCTTCAGCCACTGCATGGCTGGAGCTGCTCATTTTGGCCATCCTTGTGACCAAGGTGGATCACCACAGCCACATCTAGGTCAAAGTGGTCACAATGGTCAGAGCTCCCAGCTAGTCATTTGGCACAGGCAGAAGGAGCAGGAGGGGATCTTTGGAGAACCAAGCCACAGGGCAAATTAGGGTGATCAGCCCCAGGGGTGAGATCAAGTTGGGAAATGGGTGATGGCATCCATCTTTGGGAAAAGCGTGCTCAGCATCGCTGTCTCAGTCTGCAGAACCCACCTGCCCTGTTCTGCAGACACCAACCAAAGGCTGGTGTGTGAAAACAGGCCTGATCTGACCACTTCCAGAACCTCCAGAAGAGGCACAAACTAGTAACAAATTGTGGCTGGCTAGGACAGTTTTAGTGCTTTGGAAAAAAAAAAGCTGTGGTAAGTATTCCCACATTAACACAACCAGGCAGACTTCTTGGAGGCAGACGGGATGGCAGATTTCTGGAGGGCAAAGAACAGGCCGTATCTGCAATCTCAAACCCCACACCCTCCAATTCCACCAGTTCAGGAGGCACCCAATAAGTACTAGTTGATGATAATGATGGCCACAGGCCTAGTTAGATTTTATTTTAATTAGACTCAGGCTATAGGCCTCATTACCCCTCATGTGGCTTTTATGTGGGATTCTAAAGAAAAAAAAAATCCGGGAATCCTCTATTGAAGATATTAAAGAAGATATTATTAGCAATGCTTTTGGTCTCATAGACTTTGAACAACAAACAACAGAGATTATAATTAACGTCACTGCAGCCTCCCTCCTTAAAACATACTAACAATATAGCTAATTAGCAATATGTCCTCATTTGGGGCTGGACATCTGCATATTATTATCGACAATGCTTGTTTCCTTTTTCCAGATTAAAGGAAGCCATACTGCACCCAGGCATATGGCTGCGCTCCTTCCACATTAAAACACTGTTTTCTCCTACCCACGATAAACACACTCAGGGTTTTATCTGCGCCGGGCATCGATTTTTGTCTGGAACACTTCCACATGTCTAAAAATAAGTTCAAGAATGCCACTGGTGGTGTTTCAAAGGGAAGAGCAAACGTTTCTCCGTTTGGGGAGATAAAATAAAAGGGCGCACTGATCATCTTTACACATGACTGGGGAGCAAGGGCCCCTAGGAAGAGAAACCAGGAGAGAGAGGAAAATGAGTTTCAGACCGTAAGCTCTGCTTTCTCAGGGGGCACGCTCGTTCTTAGGCATCAGGACCATCACCCTAGGAGTGGCAGTGGGTTGGGGGAGCTTGTTCTGGAAAGAAGTACGCAGGGGCCGTGGGGGGAACCGTGCACCGTTAAATACACAGAGCGAGGCTGGCCACCTCCCGCTCGCTACCTGGGCGGGACGGAGCCACTCTCAGGGGGCAGCAGGGAGAGAGCAAATAGCAAGGGATCTATTTTAAAGCTGGGGTGAAAATGCAAATTCCTGGCAGAAGGGAAGTGGCCAGAAATACGCTTCAGTCTTTGCTGTGGGACCTGGAAGCCAACTCTGGGAGCTAGTGACACAGGCACATCATGGGTGAAGAATGCAGGAGGGTTGCGTCTTGGCTGGCAATGGAACCTTCTGTTGAAAGCCTGACTAATAGCTGAGGAATCTCTCGTTACAGTGGCAGGATGTGTCATAAGAATGTTTATTTTAGGGCTTGGGAATGACCCTGCTTATGATCCCAGTGGCCACTTTAGAAGAAATGAAGACTGGTCAACTCCTTGCATTTGGGCAGGGAGCTGGCTCCACTGGGGAAGGGGCCACGAGTGGGGCCACCCACCTCTGTGCTCCTTACTTAATTGAAGGCGCTTGGGGCGGGCTGACTAAATGGGAGTCAACACCCCACGGGCTGGCCTGGGATACTTCTGTAAACAGCTTTGATCTTGAAAATGTGCGCGTTATTGGTGATTTTTCAAGTTGTGCTTTCTCCGCTGCTGGCAAAGAAAACAGAGTGGGAAGTCTCCAGGACCCATTTCCTTTATGTCCTGTGAGGCTAAAGAATGAACAGAGAGGAAACATGAACTAGTCTTTCAAGTCTAAGAAAACATGTAAGAAGTAGAATACAAGGGTGGGAAGCCACACTGGCCAAAGAAAACTACTCATCACGTAAAACATCTTTGTAAATGTACAAGGATGAAAAAATTGTATTTTCCAGAACTCTTCTCAGGGGAAATGGTGGGCTTGCCTAGAAGGAGCACTTTAATAGATCTCTTGGGGTGTGCGATAAACCCTCCTCGAGAGTGTGCTGAGGGTTTGTCGGGGGAGGGGGTGTATTTGAATCAGAGGGCAGAGCTCTCTTGCTCTGGGCGATGAAGAACAGGGTGGCCACTAGGGGGCTTTGGTCCTAGCTCCTTGGCCATGGAGAGCTCAGCCTCCTAAATCAAACTGTGAGCAAAGATTTGAGAACTATGGATTACTGAGGATTTTTCAAGTCACGCTTTCTCCGTTTCTGGCGAAGAAAACAGAATGGTAATGCTCTGGGACCCATTTTCCAGCACTTAATTCGAAGAGGCACCAAATTATTAGCGTGCCCGAATGGCCCAACTCTCTAAGCCCTCCCTTGGTCAGAGGGGAGCGTGTCGAACAGGACCAGGAGACCCAGGGAGCTAACAGCTCCTGCAGTGATTCTGTATCTCCCCACATGGAATGCAGGGCGCCCAAGGCCTAGGTCAAGGCTGGTGTACCGCTGTCGGAAGGCAGAGCCTGGAAGGAAGCCAAAGAGCACGGGATGGCAAAGTTCAGAGGTTCACCTGGGGGAGTGGGGGTGGGCCTGGGGACCCTTGCCCAGCTTATTATTTTAATTAAGAAGATGGACTTATCTCAGCACCCAAGACTCCTCATTGAAACCTACCACAAATCTCTCTGCTCCAGTATCTCTAAAATAGGTTTAAAGAGAACTGGACCTTGGAATCCTGGAGAAGGGCTCATGGTATTGTGGGAGGGGCCTGGGCAGTAGGCATGGGGCCTGGTCTATGTCTCAGCATTGCCCTTACCTAGTTCTGTAAGCTTAGGCACCTTATTGCACATTTTCCCCTGTGGCAGGTTGGTTTGCAAAAGTGTCCACAAATTCTCTTTCCCTAAATATCCATGCCTTGGGTAGTTAGTTCCCACACTGTCTTTGCACTTGGCCACATGACTTACTGTGGCCAGTAACAACAGTAAACACAAACAAGTGCTTGCTCATTGAGGCTTGCCTATTTTTTTTGCTCTTTGGAATCCTGAGACTCCTGTGTGAAAAGGCCTGGGCTAGTCTACTGGGTAATAAGAGACATATGAAACAAGGACAGTCTATCCCAGACTAACCAGCAGCTAATGACCAGTCACTCAAATGGAGACCATCCAAGACCACCCTAGACCATCCTAGGCCATTTAGCCCCAGCTGAGCCAACCTAGACTAGAAAAGCCACCCAGCTGACCCATAGAACCCTGAGGAATGATAAATGTGTGTGGTTTTAAGCTAATGCATTCAGAGTGGTTTGTTACACAGCAAAAGCTAACTGATACAGGACTTCAGTTATTTCTCCTGTGAAATGGGCACGGTGAGAAAGAATGGGAACTGCAGGAAACCTTTCAATCCATCAGGTTCCAACATCCTAGGACTAAAATCTTCTAGAGACACTTGTTCTGGAGAAATTATTTTCCAACAATTAAAAATACCCTTATCCCAAATGCTGAAAACATCAAATTGAGGATGGGAGATTAAACAAAACCTGATAGTTCTAAATGCATAAAATGTAATGACCATCTTCAATGACCAGAACTCTATCTTCTCCTTTCTCTTCTCCTTCCACCTGCTGACTCCAAGCTGTGCAGAGTCTGTTGGAACCCACCCCTCCCCCCCAACACACACTGTTTCTGTCATTTACATGTGCTGCTTTGTTAACAGTTCCACTGACAGTTTTTCAAATATTCTGAGTGGAGCCTTAACAGTTCTCCTTCACACTTTCATGAGGCACCTGTACAGCCCTGTGGGCTGCCAGAAACTAGTAATGCTCATTTATTAGGGAACCCCTACTGAAACCATAAAACAATTATAGAGCTGTCCTAGACCAGCTATGACTTGAGGTGAAGAGAAAGCTGTAGCCACCAGCACCGGCTCCCTTTCCCATCTGCCTGTACAGATTGTTCCTATTTGGGCTGCTGTTCTGTTCTCTCCATGGAAACCGTTTGATCTCTGCTTGAAAAGCTGGCAGCCAAGGTGACTGTGGGCCTTTGACTTGGCTTCACTAACCTTCTTTATAAATGGTTGGGGTGCTCGTTCTACGTGTGGATTCACTCAACAAACACTGGGTGTCTGCTTTGTGCCAGGTGCTCTGCTGGGAAGAGACTGCCACTTGTTAAGACAAACTCTCCAAAACTTGAAAATAAAGCCAAAGGGTGATGCAAGTTTATCAGTTCATCCTGGGGCACAGTATGCAGGCCTGTCCAAGGTTATTTAATTCTCTAGGAGAACGTATGTACCCTCGTTTTGTTTATTATTTACTATTGATTAGGGCCCAGACTAAAAGTTACATGCTCACCGGTAGATTTTTCATCCTGTAGAAATACATGTGCTTTTGTCCAGTTGAAACGAGAATTCATTAAGTTCTCAGCAGAAGGGAAAAAAATTGTTATTATATGAGGTGACGGATGCTAACTAAATCTATTGCGGTGTTCACTTCACAATAAATACATATATTAAATCATTATGTTGTGCACCCTAAACTTTTGTGATGTTATATATCAATTATATAAAACTAGAAAGAAAGAGCAGCAATACTGTCTTATTGCCCAACAGGACATTAACCAGTTTTGTTTTCCACTTACAAACTTACTTCCTCATGATTTTCCCAACTGATTTTATAAATATTTGTTCCTCAAGTGCTCTGACTGGCATTAATTAGCATGTTCCCTCTCTCTTTCCCCCCCCAGTACCTAAAACCTAATCTTTTTGTCTTCTGGAGAGGACCAGGCCACAGAGAGCACCTGGGACAAGGTCAATTCAAAGACATCTCTCTCTCAATTCATTTACATATATTTACATACATATTTATATATACACACATACCTATAAGTATGTGTACACAAGTATATATAAGTGTATATTTGTGTACATAAAAACATATATACAAGTATATATTTACATGTATATAAATATACATACATATTTATATATACACATATGAATGTGTGTTTAATTTCAGTTTTAATTTTTAATTTTAAGATCTCCTAAGTGTCTTCTCTTTCCTAAACAAACTCATAGAAACCTGGTAATAAAGCTGAGTTATTGCTTTAACCTAGCTATTCTCAAAGTGAGGTCTTCGGACCAGCAGCATCGGTGTCACCTGGGCACCTGCTAAAAAGCTGATTCTCAGGCCCTCAGCAGAATCAGAGTCTGTGGGGTCAGACCCAGCAGCCTGTGGTTTATCCAGCCCTCTTGGTGATTCTGATGGGGGCTACCATCTGAGAACCTTGGCCCTAACAGTTAAGAAGCTATTATTCCCAGGGTACTTTAGCAAAGGGAAAGGTTTCCAGGAAATGGTTCTGTGCTTTTTATCTTGGGGAAATGTAACCAAGTAAATAGCAAATTAGCCCCCAAGGCATGCAGTCCGGCCTGGGGAGTCACTCGCTTCTCAGGGATCCCCACAATGAGGACACTGAAGAGGAGGGCAGAGCTCCTCACATTCCAGGGTCCCTGGGTGAAGGAAGCTGCTGCTGCGTCAGATGACATTAGAGATCAACACATGAGGTGAAAAGACAAAAACCCTAAGTTGGAGGGCGAACTAGGAGACTTCCTGCTTGTCCCAGCATTAGTATAGTCTAGCCTTGTCACACTTGCTCAGGTAGCAAGGGTCCCTAAGGGGTGGCAAAGGGTTTCTAACTGATTGCTCCCTCACCGTCTGTCTCTGGAAAAGCCACGCAGGCCCATGAGGAAGGGCACGCTTGGGTCCTGGTTGGCTGCTGGACAAACTTTTCTAGCTCAGAGGACTGGCGGAAGATGAGGGAAGGCCCGAGAGAGGAGAAATGATCCATCGGTCTGTGGGAGAAGTGGGAAGAAAGATGTGGAAGACGGAGGAAAGAGTTGGGCCAAGAGTTCCCTCCAGGTGCCCCAAATAGCCAAGTGACTATTCCTATGGTTTGAAGACAGCTCCTTTTTAAACCTGAAGTCTCCCTGGGGCCCATAAAGCCCCCACCACACACAGCAAATCCATCAGCAAGGATAAATCTCAAACTGTCCTGCATCCAACTTGTAGTTTTCAAAGAGATTAAAGCAATGACTCATGTATGAGGTTGAAGACACAAAATCTATTTGTTCCCAGCATAGGCATGGCAATCTCCACCAAAACCAAATGTCCCGTGTGCCTACTCCAGGCACACCCTGACCAGCACCCATCCTGCAACTTCTCTGCACACCTGCCCCATGTTCTTCCAGGGACGGCACCCTGGTGCATGTCTGAAGGCTCTGGAGACAGGGTCAACTGTTGCCAGGAATCCAGCCCAAGAAAACGCTCTCTTCCAACAAGCCACACGGGCCAGCTCGTGCACCAACCAGAGCTTCGCTCTCCTCCAGCAAATTTATGCCTCAGTCCATGAAAACGCCCCTTGCTTGCACTTTCCCATTCACTCCCCACGTCTGCAGGTAGAAAGACGGGTTTTGCCATGGAGCCCAACTCATTTTTACGCAAAGCTCTGGGTGTCCGGTCACCGAGCGCGCGGCTCACCTTCCCCAGCGCTCTGGCCTGTGGAGACGGCACAGAGACGCAGGGAGCTCTCCAGCAGACACGAATGCAAACATACCAACGGCTTCTTTCAAAACCCTGGCTTTTCAAAGACTCGCAAAGGTCAGAAGACAAGAGTTTCTTACAAGTAGCCCTGCTCCCTCTCCGACCAAAGGAAATATGTTTTTTGCTTTCCAAAGAGAAAGAAAAGCGCCCTAAGATGCCTCCCTCCTGCATGGCGCTGCCGGTTCCCTCGCTCCCCTCGCGCCTTGCTTTATCCGCTGCCAGATCATGATCTCAGGCCTTGAGCCCACGAACAGAAGATCCCATTCCCCGGAATCCCCCCTCCCCCCGCCCAGGCGATGTCCCCCGTTCCAGGTCTTGAACAAAGATCCCACGACGCGTGTTTGATCTCTTCACGCTCCATTTTCATTAGTCCTTCACACTCTCCGTCACTCGGAAAAATACAAACAGCATGGTTCAGTTTTAAGGTTAAGAACTGACAGTCTCCATAAACATTTTTACAATCAAAGCTGACTTATCCACTGCCAGGACTCAGTGTCTGTAGGAGAGGGGTGAGGTGGGATGGAGGCGAGGGGTGGGAAATGGAAAACTCCAGCATCAGAAGAAAGGAACAAGTGCTGGGCCTCCAACTGCTGAGTGAGGGACGCCCCACGGCACCGCTGGCAAGGGATGGGCTCATCCATCTCCAAATAATTAAAGTGCAGTCATCCCCCCTTATCCACGGGGATAGTTCCAAGACCCCTAGTGGATGCCCAGAACTGGGGAGAGCACCAAACCCTAGACATGCTATGTTTTTCCTATACGTGCATACCTGTGACCAAGTTTAATTTATAGATTAGGGACAGTAAGAGATTATAACAACTAATAATAAAATAGGGCAATAATGATAATATACTGTAAGCAAAGCTCTGTGGATGTGGTCTCCCTCAAAATGCCTTATTGTATTGTACATACAGCTTGGAGATGCTGAACAAAGGGATGATTCACGTCCCAGGCGGGACACAGTGAGATTTCATCACACTACTCAGAAGGGCGCTCAATTTAAAACATATGAATTGTTTATTCCTGGAATTTTCCATTTGATATTTTCAGACCACGGTTGACTGCGGGTAACTGAAACTGCAGAACTGGAAACTGGGACAAAGGGGTGGGGGCTACTGCATCACAGAGAGGGACAGGGAAACCCAAGGGGCAGGGCAGCTCAGGGATGCATTCCCCACTGTGGAAAATGCAAAGCCATCAGCGGCCCTGAGTTATGAGATTGCCAGGCCATAAATATTAAAAGTGGTTTATGAAGAGGTTATAAAATCATTCTAAGGATATTTTAAGTAGAGAAAAGCAGAGGGTAAAATAGGTGGGGGCAGAGAAGACCTGGGATTTAGGCCACACTCCACCCTACACCACCCCAAATATTTACGAGCTGAAATCATTTAATGAGCTGGAACTCACATTGATGGTGTGAGGGCAGATGAGCTTCAGGACCTTTACTCATTTCCCCATCCAACATACAATTAAGGAGAGCCAATTACTCCATTGTGAGGGCTGGGAATACAGTGTTGAGGAGACAGGTACAGTCCTTGCCCTCACGGAGCTTATAGCCTCCAGCAGCAGTTCCCAAGCTCTGTCGCTTCTCCTGATGCCCAGGTCACACCCCAAGCCATTTAATCAGGGCGTCTGGGGTAGGATCCAGGCACCATGCTTTCAAAGATCCCTAAAGGACTCCCAAGTGCAGCAAAGTTTGGGAACCGCTTAGGATTCTCAGCTGTGTTGCCATGATTGGCCCGGTCAGTGAGCACCGAAGTCTTGCCCCCGCACCTTAGTGGCTCTTGCTCGGCTGTCTGAAGCTCTATGTGCCCACAAGGACTTCATCCTGACATCTTCAGTGTAACTGAAAAATTTTCTGTAAGCTTAATCCCCTGAGCCCTTCTGAGAGAGTTTCCGAGCTAAAAGTACTGGTCACGTACTCAGAGGCTGGTAGGATGACCTCCTTAATCCAAAACCCCAATCAGGACACGTTACTCAGCCCCCAATCTGATCATGGTATAAAGTATTTGAACCCCAGACCACCCCAGAAACCTCCTGGCTGCCATATCTACGGGGTCCCAGCAGGTTTAAATCACCTGATTCCCTTGTGAAAATAGAAAAAAAGAACTTGCTCGATAAACCCTGTACCTCTGTTCTCTCTGAGCTTTTATATCCCATTCCCCTTCTAGCGATCAATGGAAATTCATTATAGACTTTCTTGGACCTGCTCCTGGATTTCCATCAATTGAGAAAGGAAACATTGCATTAAGTCTTTCTCTGGAAGGTCCCAGGAATTTTCAAAAATGAGAATAAAAGAAAAGAGAATGAAAAAAGCTGTCTGCTTTGAAGTTGCAATGAACACGCCAGGAAACAAAAAGCACAAAGCCCCCAAATGATGGAGCCTGAGAAGAATGTTGACGCAGAAGTGCTTCCCCGTCGCCCATTGTGCGACCTAGAGGGCCAAGCGTCCCCACTCGGGCCGCCCGAGCCTGCCAGTTGGCCAACCCGGCGGCATTCCGCTGCAGAGATTAAACCCCGCTTTACGATTGTGGTGCAAATAATAAAGAGCCTGGCAGGGTCTCCGTCCAAAGTGAAAGCTCATTTATTTTCTGAGGTGTATAATTTGGTTGTAAATGTTTCCTTTGGGCCAAAACAACCCAGACTGTGTGTTTGCCTGGAACGCATCACTGCTCTGCCGCAGAAGAACGGCCTCCGTGTGGTCCCGCCGCGCCATGCGCTCAGGGCACAGAGGGGTTCGAGCCGGCCCTGCGCCGCTTCGCGCCCGGGGCAGTGGCCTGGGCAGACCAGGGCTGGGAGGCAGGGGGCCCTGGGCCTGGGCTGGCCGCGCCAACTCCCAAGTCCTGGGCCATGTGGGAACGGGCAGGCTGGCCGCTGGCCCTCGCTCACCTGCTGCGGCGCCTCTCGGAGCTGAGGCGAGCGGCAGAGCATCGGGGCCCTGTTCCTTGTGAAGCCTGGCCTTTCTTCCACGTCTCGATGTCTTTATTTTGTTTATCTTTTCAAAAATCATCCTAAAATAATCCACGCAGCAATGAGTAATATTTGGATAAAGGCAAAGACAGATTCGTTCCAGGGCTCATGGGCTGACACACGTACTTGGGGCTCGAATTCGGCCCACTGTGTTTAGCCAATCTCGCCCGAATATACAGCTTTTCCTCCTGCACGAGCAGCTTAAGAAATAAAGCCCTTTCTACCATTTTCACGTTTATCGACTCTCTTCCTTGTATCACATACTTTTATTCTGCCTTCCATTTGGATCCCCACATTAAATCCAAAGCCAGTGCTACACTTTGTAGATAAAAAT